AATTCCTAACAGGGTTATAGCCTCTTGGTTAATAGTGCAAGAAAATAAAATCAAAACTATGCGAGAAAAAAATCTATACGACAAAATAATTGTAAGAAAATAAAGACATGAAAGTAAATTTACTCTACAAGGCATAAAAATCTATATTGTATAAAAAGAAATCTAATTCAAGAGGGTTCTAGTCCCTTAAATATCTAAAGCAAGAAAAATAGTAAGAAAATAAAAAGATAAAAGAGAAAATTTATATTTCAAGAGGGTTCTAGCCTCTTGACGAAGGTAAACCTTTATCCTGATCTTCATCTTCATTTCATCTTCATCTTTATCATCAAAAAGAGAAGAAAAAAAATATGAAGAGGAGAAAAAAAAATATTTTATAAATTGCAATAAAAAGTTATAATTGTGAAAGATCTTCTCAATTAAGAGTAACCTTCCAAACCCCTCAGTCTCTATCCCCTTTTATAGCCTACAGCAATGAATGAGAACCCTTAAATTTTGCTTGGAGATCAAACATTAAATCATAGTTATAAAATAGTTTTTGTTGCGAACCAATCGATTGGCCAATTGATTGGCCGGCCGATTGGTCGACTGGTTGGTTTGCAACTGATTAGCTTTTTTGTGATTTCTTGACCCGATTTCCACATGGATCCTTGAGCTTTTTTGGGCCTTCACTTGTCTTCATATTTGGGCTTCAATAACTGGTCGAAAATCAAAGAGTTTGATTCTTTTGGGATTTCATTCATTAATCCATCATTAACTTGTAAATTAAAGTAAAACACATTTATTAGTGATATTTTTATTCAAATAAAATAGATAATAAGGGTATAAAATATAATAAAATATGATTATCAATGAGCTTCGCCCAAATGGTCCACATGGGACATATAGTGAAGTTCGCTGAAGCTGAAGCTGCAGTGAAGCTCGCAAAAGTTGTAGTGAAGCTCATCTAAGTAGCAGCGAGCTTCGCCCAATAGCCCACATGGGCCGTGTCACCCATTCAAGAAGCGTTCTCTCATGGTAATTATTGATGAACTTCACTGTGGTCATTATTGGCGAAACTCGCCTATGATCATTATTAGCGAACCTAGCCTACAACCATTCTCAGAAACTATTTTTAAGGAAGCGGTTAATGACCAGTAACTCATCTATTTAAGGGAAGTTAATGACCACTAACTCACCTATTTTAAAAGGGAGTTAAAGACCACAAACTCACACTTAAGGGGAGTTAAGGCCCACTAACTCACCCACTTAATGCTCCAAAGCCTATAAATATGCATGATCAATAGAGGGCACATGGGCAGAGGAAAGGGTCGTAGGTATAACATTATCTTAGCTAGACTCTTTACCACTGAGAAAAGAGATATGAAGAGATTTGGGGACTACATTAACAAAAAGCCTATCTCTCCTCCATTCTCATTGATCTTCATAGCCTATTATCATCGACTAATCATTTGGCCTGATCAACAATCATTGTGAGAAAGGATTCGTTTTCTTTAGCTAGGCATCTAGCTTAATCAATATTTTTGTGAGAAATGATTTGTCAATATTGTATGCACGGGAAATTACGAGAAACTCAAGAATTGAATCTGTATTATTCTCTCTAACTAACTTAGAAAAAGAATGATTACAACCCTCTCAATATAATTTCTCTCTAACTGACTTAGAAAAAGAAACTATAGTTTTCTTTATCGGTTCCCCGATTTACAAAAGAGGGAAGGATGAAACCCTCCATTTGTTTAAAACTGGGTTCTTTCTTTGTGGCGATGAGAGTTTGAATTTTGTATCCCGTTGACGATCCGAGCACTTCAACTTTGTGGGGGTATTGGTCTTCTCTCCTTGACTTAACGCCTTGAGAGAACTTGCGAGGCAAGTTTATAACTCTAGCTGAGTTTTGAGAATTCTCTATGAGAGTGTTAAGAACTTGCAAGACAAGTTCAGAACTCAACACGAGTTTGGGGGACTTGCTAGGCAAGTTGAGAAACTCTCTGTAAGAGAGTTAAGAACTCTAGGCGAGTTTGAAAGAAACTTGTTTCAACAAGTGAGAAACTCTCTGTGAGAGAGTTGAAAAACTCTAGCCGGGTTTAAATCCCTAAGAAGGGTTGATTTTAGAGAGAAGATGAAATCTAAGAAAACTAACGCAAATAGGTTTAAAGTGCAAGCCAAAAAGCTCCAAGAAAGCTCCAAGAAAGCTCCAAGAATCCTCTCCAAGAAGCCTCTCTCCTTCTCTTTCTTCTCTCTTTTGATCCCCTTTTTTCCTCTCTTTTCCCCCCAGCCTCTGGCTTGCTGGAGATCCAACCATATTTATAGGGTTATCATGGAGTAAGGTACCCCATAACAGGCCCTTAACTATGCCCATACCTTGATGGGACAGTTTTGAAAAGTGTTCCAGCGTCAAAAACGCAAGGGTCGCATTCTGGAGAGAAAAACATGGGTGAACTCTGCGTCTGACGACCTTCGTGTCTGGCGACCTCCATGTATGAGCTTGGGATGAACTCCACATCTGGTGACCTCTGTGTTTGGTGACCTCTACGTCTGACGACCTCTGCGTCTGAGCTTGGGACGAACTCCGCGTATGGTGACCTCTGCATCTGGCGACCTCCACGTCTGGCGACCTCCGCGATTGGATTCGTAGAGATCGTCAATTATAATCTCTTTCCTTTGACTTCTGTGTAGATTGTCATTTTGTAATCTTTACACTTGGCCTTTGTGGAATGTGAGAGTCGTCAATTTGCAACACTAACACGTTGCTGTAAAAGTCTTTACATTATAACTTTCATAGACTATTTGCGGAGGCCGTCAGATTGTAACTTCCGCTTGTTTATGTGAAGGACGGCAGATTGTATCTTTCATCATCTGTTGAATCTGCGGAGATCAGCTATCTGCAGTAATTTTTTAGATAGCCTACAGACCCCCCTCCAAAGTTTTCGAAAGTTCGTGATTCACTAGAACAAATTTTCGAAATACTTTGGTTCACAAAATGATTTTCGTGATTCTGCATACAATAGGATTTTTGGCAAACCCTCAGCCATCAACGGATTTGATAAGCTTTTACCGACTACCGTTTGAGTCAGGCTAGCATGTGGATTGTCTAAGTCCGTTCCATATGTAATGTTGTGCTAAAAGAATGAACTCTCTTAGGCTTAGTGCTATGATAGTGAATACATAGACTTTGCCGCTGTTTCTTCCTGTGTTATATTTTTATTTGAAACACTGAAAGAAAGTTGGAAGTGTCAGAGGTGTAGTATTAACTTAGCATGAATTTTCACTTAGAGTAAAATTCATAAATTTTCTTCATTATCACTAGGATAACTCCAGAAAATCTTCAATCCGCTGGGGATTCTACAATGACGACTTGCTATTTCTTTTCGAAATAGACCTAACAAGTTCATTGGGGGTTTGACTGTTGTAGGTGTGATATTAACCTAATAGTATTTTATGGGTCTATCGCTCTATTAAAGAGAGTCGATAAACTGATTTGGTCGTCAGAGGTGTGATGTTAACTTGACGGGTTTATACTTGTGATTTGAACAAGATTTTGAAGACTTAGCGTCTTGTTGGGGAAGATTACGATTTGAACAACATTGTGGACCTACCATCCTATTAGAGAGGATCGATAAGTTGACTGTCAGAGGTGTAGTGTTAACATGACAGGAATTTTCTTGTGATTTGAACAGCTTTGTTGACCTACCATCCTATTAGAGAGGATCGATAAGTTGACTATCAGAGGTGTAGTGTTAACATGACAGGAATTTTGTTATGATTTGAACAACTTTGAGGACCTACCATCCTATTGGAGAGGATCGATAAGTTGACTATCAGAGGTGTAGTGTTAACATGACAGGAATTTTGTTGTGATTTGAACAACTTTATGGACCTACCATCCTATTGGAGAGGATCGATAAGTTAACTGTCAGAGGTGTAGTGTTAACATGACAGGAATTTTGTTGTGATTTGAACAACTTTGTGGACCTACCATCGTATTGGAGAGGATTGATAAGTTGACTGTCAGAGGTGTAGTGTTAACATGACAGGAATTTTGTTGTGATTTGAACAACTTTGTGGACCTACCATCCTATTGGAGAGGATTGATAAGTTGACTGTCAGAGGTGTAGTGTTAACATGACAGGAATTTTGTCACCAGAAAAGATTGTCATATTAAATATGAAACAGACTAAAGTTATACTCCATGGGGATGATGATCATCAGAAGTGTAATATTAACTTGACGACGTGAAAGATTTTGTTACCCTTAATCCAGTGGATTCCAAGCAACCAACCCCTAGTCTAAGTGAGTTCAGTTTCTCTTATTAGACTCAGCTGGGGGGAGAAAATAGGGGGTCCTATGATTCTCTATGGGTAATATTTCTTGAGAAATTTCCCGTTGATTGGTATCATGAGCCTATCATCTTTTTGATTAATGAGACGGTAGGCTCCATACAAGTAGACTGACTCTACCACGAAGGGTCCTTTCCATTTGGGATTGAACTTTCCTTTCGTCTTGTGCGTCATGACCATAGGTCATCTGACTACTAAGACAAGATCACCTCTCTTAAAGATCCTTTCTTTGACCTTTTTGTTGTAGGCTTTGGAGATTCGGGTTTGGTATAACTCGATCTGTTGTTAAGCATGAAGTTGCTTATCATCCAACGCTTCTAGTTCTTGAAGGCATAGTAGATGACGGTCCTCATCTGTCATCCCGGTCGCAAGGGCAACTCTCAGGGATGGGATCTGAATTTCTAATGGCAGCACAGCCTCATAGCCATACACCAAAGAGAAGGGAGTAGCTTTTGTTGGGGTCCTCACCATTGTACGATAGGCCCATAGACATTCACCGAGTCATTCGTCCTAGTCGCGTCGGCTTTTGGAGACGAACTTCTTGAGAAGCTTTACGATCGACTTGTTAAAAGCTTCTGCAAGGTCATTAGCTGGCGGATAATATGCTGTTGACGCAACGCTTTGGATTCTAAACTTATTGTAGAATCTCTAAAAACTGTAGCTGACAAATTAGGCTCCATTATCATGAACTATTTGCCCGGGTATGCCAAAGCGGTAGACGACATGGTGTTTGATGAACTTGACCACGTCCGAAGCCTTGACTTCTTTCAAAGGAACTGCTTCTGCCCATTTGGAAAAGTAATCGGTTACTGCTAAGATAAATCGATGCCCTTTGGATGTTGGAGGGAAAATAGGTCCAACAATATCCATTCCCCACATCTCGAATGACCAAGATGGAGATGTAGGATGCAGATTCCCTGGTGCTTGATGAATGAAATCACCATGGACCTGGCACGCGTGATATCTTTTAGCATAATTGACGGCGTCAACGATCTTTTTAGGCCAGTAATAGCCAAGCCTGCAGAGTCAATCCCCTAGTTTAGCTCAAGGTTGATGAGCCCCACACATTCCGTCATGAGCTTCCTTGAGGGCTTCTTGTGCCTCTTTTCTGGAAAGGCAGCGAAGCAAAACTCCATCATGCGATTTTCAATACAAAGTTCAAGATGCCGCATCATTTTCTGGAAAGGCAGCGAAGCAAAACTCCATCATGCGATTTTCAATACAAAGTTCAAGATGCCGCATCACAATAGAATCGAAGGGCCTTCTGTTTGACGGCGGCCGCTTCTTTAGAATCATCGGGTAGTATGCCGTGCAAAACATAATCGATGAATAGGAATCACCAATCTCTTTGTTCAAGACTTGTGGAAGCTTCACAAACGATCTCTATTGTTGCCTCTTCTGAGCGATTTCCTAGAGGGAACTTGGGGTGACACAAATCACGACCTGCCACGAGTATCTTTGTCTCTGCCTTTGGTGACAATGCCAGTGAAGTTGCTAGCGAAGCTAAGGCATCTGCATAGGCGTTACGAGCCCGTGGAACGTGTCCGATAAAGAAGCCCTCAAAATTTTGAGCTAACTTTAGCGCCGCAAAGTGGTATAGGATCAAATCCTCATTGCGCACTTCGTATTCTCCTAGGACTTGATTTACGATGAGTTGAGAATCGCCGTAGGCTTCAAGGTATTGGATGTTGAGCTCCTCGGCCATCTGCATTCCTAGTAGCAAAGCATTGTACTCCGCTACATTGTTGGTGCATGGCTCGATTAAGGAAAATCCTCTTGGGATCACCTGACCATATGGGGATACGAGCACAACCCCCACACCGGCTGTGATTCCTCCATCAGGACTTTCTCTAGATGCACCGTCGAAGAACAATTTCCATACTTGCATGACTCCTTGAGTTACATAAGCCTCTGCAACTTTGTCTGGTAAGTCTTCATATAATCTGGAAGAATCAGACACCGGATGGTTAGCTAAGAAATCTGCCAGGACTTGGCCTTTAACAACCTTCTGAGGCATGAGCTGCATTAAATAATATGACAGAAGTATTGTCCATTTTGCAAGGTGGCAATTTAGCAAAGAAGGTTTCGTCATGAGAGCTCTCAAAGGGTTCACTTAGGAGATAACATGAATAGTTTGTCCAACTAAGTAATGCCATATTTTCTGAATGGCGAAAACCAAGGCAAGGTATTCTTTTTCCACCGGATTGTACCGGTGTTCAGCTCCAATCATGGTTCTACTAAGGTAGTAGGTTGCCTGCTCCTGGCCCTCATCATTGTTCTGTGCTAATAAAGCTCCAAGAGAATGTTCCATGGCCCTCACATATAATAGGAATTGTTTTCCTATCACCGAGGCCACTAGAATGGTCGGCTGAGTGAGATATTGTTTGATCTCCTTAAATGTCTTTTGGCAGTCTCCATCCCAAACAAATGAGACCCCTTTCTTCATTAACTTGGTGAAGGGCTGGCAGCGTCCTGAGAGGTTTGATATGAATCTCTAGATGTAAGCCAATATGCCCTGTAGGCCTCTGAGTTCCGTGATATTCTTCGGAGACTGCATTTCTTAGATAGCCTGAACCTTTTCTGGATCAAGGAAAATACCTTTAGAGGTGACTATGAACCCAAGGAATTTGCCGCTGGATACCCCTAGGAAAGATTTGGCGGGGTTCATCTTCAGTTGATGTATTCGCATGATGTCAAATATCATCCTTAAGTCTGAGAGATGGTCACATTTCTTCTGGCTCTTCACTACGATGTCATCTACGTAGCACTCTACCTTTTTGCGAAGATGTTCATGGAAGATCGTGCTCATGGCACGCTGATAGGTTACACCAGCATTCTTCAGTCCAAACAGCATTACTATATAACAGTACACCCCCAGTGGTGTTCTGAAAGCTGTGTGCTTTTCATCTTCAGGGTGCATTTTGATCTGATTATATCCTGAGAATCCTTTGTGTTAGACCCTAGAGGGGGGTGATTAGGGTCTTATGCTAATATAATCCGATTTAAATGCCAATTTAAAATATTAACAAGTTATATTCTTGCAAGTTAGATATACAAAGAGTAAGAGTGTAAGTGCAAGAATATGCAATATACACAAGGTGATATATCCTAGCAAAGAGATATACTATGAGATATATGCAAAGATATATAAACAACACAAGGGTAAATAATCTAAACAAGATAGTGGATGAAATAAATGAGTAATGCACAATTGGCGATATAAGATAAATGCAAAAACAAATACGCCAAGATAAACTCAAACAAGCAATATGATCAGGAGTTCGGACTTCCGTCCTACGTCTCCGCTCCCCACTCCCGGGGAGAAATCCACTATCAACCAGGTTTTCTACGTTCACGCGAATAACGTTTACACCTCACAGTATCGGTTTTCAACGCTCACCGATCAACGTCACTCCTCACACTCGGTTTCTAGCTCACCGAAAACCTCACTACACACTCTGTTTCTAGCTCACCGAAAACCTCAACTACACACTCAGTTTCTAGCTCACCGAAAACCTTACAACACTCACAATGTAACAAATATAAATTTGTTCTCTACAATAGATGAGAACACAATGAAAGCACAACTCAAAGTTACAATCTCTCACCACCCAACTATACTATGTATGCAAATACTATAAGCTCAATGTGGGTGTGTGTAACATGAGTAAAATAAAATCTAACTCAATTAACAAACTAGCAATAATAAGAATATGAAAATCAATAATGAAATTCTAAGAGAAAGAGTTAGAAAACTTCTCTAAGAGCACAAGAAGAGGATGAAGGGGATTGAGAATGAATCCCTCAATCTGCAGTGAAAACTCTCCTTTGTAAACAGAAACCCAAACTCAAACAAACAGTAAAACCCTAAACCCTTGCTTAAACTTTTCTTTTCTTTAAAACATTTCTTAGTTAGCTTGAGAGTTGAAGACAATGGGGTATTTATACCCTCTCACACTCAGCCAGAAACCAGAGCAAAAGACAAAACAGCCCCAAGCAACGGTCAAAAAACTAGCCGTTGGAAGCTGAAGGAACACTCGTCGGTCGACCGGAAAATTCGTCGGTCGACCGAAAATTTTCATCGGTCGACCGGACCGGTCGACCGGATGATGCTCTGGAAAAATACTGACGAATGGAAATTGACGGTCGACCGTACCGGTCGACCGAAAACTGACATTTCCAAAAAATCGGTTTTAGAGCTGATTTTAAAACACTGTTTAAAAATATCAAATAAATTCAAAAATGTAAATTTGGGGAAGATTGTAGACATGATAATAAACATGCTACAATCGACTGGTTTCGAAAAAAGGACTTCCCAATTGAAAAATATCATCATTTTACAAAATAGTCCAAAAATAAAAACCTGAAAATTGAAATTTGGATATTTTGACTTAAACAACATTTTGAAACCTTATGAAATGATTGTATAGACTTGATAAAAGATATAACATGTTGTTATGAAGTCTATAACTAGAAATACAATATTTCCATAAAATTGCATATTCTATGCAATATATTCAAAAACACTAAATATGATTTCATTAAATATAAGCTTGTTAAAGTGAAATCATATATAGGCATATAAACATGAAACAAAATAGTTTTCCAAATTTATGCATTTGTTTCATATATAAACTCGAAAAACTATAAAACCAAAAACATATGTATATATATATATATAATAATATATATATATATATATATATATATATATATATATATATATATATATATATATATATTATATATATATATAATATATATATATCACTATATATATATATATGAAAAACGATATAATGTGTGTGTATAGATATTGAGCTTAACGTATTAAACACACATAACATAAATCCTAAACTAAATTACCAAGCTAGATCTTGATCTTCAATAAGCTCTTCTAGGTAATCTCTCGGATGAAGCTAAACTTGGATCTTGAACTTGAATTGTACGATGCTTCACTCCATAATTCGCCAACCTCCATTTGATATCGTGGTTACACATAACATAAATCCTAAACTAAATTACCCAAGCTAGATCTTGATCTTCAATAAGCTCTTCTAGGTAATCTCTCGGATGAAGCTAAACTTGGATCTTGAACTTGAATTGTACGATGCTTCACTCCATAATTCTGCCAACCTCCATTTGATATCGTCGTTATGGCGCAATCCATCCCAAGAAGGCCAACAATCTCCCCCTTTTTGATGATGACAAACAATTTACAAAAAGGATATATGCATGAAAAGAAATGAATATATAAATTACAATTCACATGCATATAAACAAGAAAGAATATACATATACTCACAATATTTCTCCCCCTTTGACAACATCAAAAAGGGGACAAAAAAATTAAGAGAGCGAAAGCTCCCCCTACCTATAAGCATGGGTGAGTATAAAACAAGAAATACATAGGGGTTGCTCCCCCTATCAAAATGTCATATAGAATATATGAAATGAAGATCATGGCATACATATGTGAGTAAGCATAAATGCTAATCACAACTCACATACGAAAGATGATGAGAACATATATCAAAGTAAAAGATAGTGTCTCATATCTAAAAACATAAAAACATTTGTAAAGGTAGATTTATGAAATCAAAAGAAGAGAAACATGAGAATCATGCAAAAAGAGTTTTCGAATAAAAACAAATCACTCAAATGAAATCATAAATCAAGATTTGAGTTCAAAAGCAATGTTTGATCAAAAGGAAAACTTTCTTTGTATAACTTGATCAAACCACTCATAGAATACATTATAAGACACAAATAGATGATCCATAAGCACAAACACATAAATATCATCATATAAGTGAA